CTCGCAGATCCCTCGTTGATCAGCAACAGATCAACGAGTGAATTGGTTTTTGGCCAATCTGTCACTGATTAGTGATGGATCCGCGAGGCATGGTCCAAAAACAAGTTCTCTCATAGATCCCTCGCTGATCAATGATGGATCAGCGAGGGAATTGTTTTTTGACCTATCCGTCACAGATCAGCGATGGATCTACAAGGGATTGGCCAAACACCAGTTCCCTCAGAGATCCCTCACTGATCAGGAAAGGAAACTAGTTTTTGGACCATCCCTTGCAGATCCGTTGTAGATTAATAACGAATTGGCCAAAAACCAGTTCCCTCGCTGTTTAGCGAATGACATGCGAAGGAATTTGTTTTTGTCCCATCCGTCGCTCATAACCGTTGTTGATACTCTATTTTCTAGTAGTGAAACATATTATATAAAAAACTAAATTTTGTAGACAAGGAAAAATCCCGACTCACCTGTGGGGATGGGTATAGGAATGAGGATTGTGATCCTTGATATCTCCGACCAGGTTACCATGCCTATGGTGGATGATATTTTGTATCTTACCATTTTACTTCCGTGGATCTTCATTTGTTGATGTCTTAGAGGTTTCCATAAATCTTAAAACAAATTTTTGCAGTCATCGTCGATTGACAAGAAAATCTAAAGATTATTTAGTTAGATTAAATAGTTAATTTTTCTATCATCTTGTTACTTGTAGATGTGGCGTATGCCAAGGCTACCATGAGAGGAAGTTTTCCATTTTGTTCTTGACATAAAACAAACTTTTCGATGGATGAGAATGCAAAAAACACAAGTTGTTTTAATCTCTCTAAAATGTTAGAAAATGGAGATGGCCCCAATGATCCCCCACCCTTTAATGAAGCGCTAAATATAGTTCATATAGCTAATTCTAAGAATTAAGGTATTATGGACTTGTTATTTCTGTTTTCATCTAGTTGAACTCAAGAATATATGCCACAAATAGATGTCCTACATTATAAGTTTAAAGGCCAATTAGTGGTTTGCCATATGATAATCCACCTTCTCACTTAAAACTCTTTTATGGAAATCACCAATTATTTTCTTAGCCTAAAGGTATTTCGACTTATCTAAGAGATAGAATCAAGTCTTGGTTGAACTGATTACAACCTGATTCTATAATTTCTTGGAATGATCTAGCTGAAAATTTTATGAAGAAGTATTTCCTTCCCACCAGTAATGCTAAGTCTTATATTGGAATTTGTTTATTCAAACAAGCAAAACAATGAAGCAATAACCAATGCATGAGAAAGGTACATAGACTTGTTGAGAAAATGCCCTCACTATGACATTTACTTACTACATAAAATTAGAGACATTTACAATGGTTTAACAACCACTGCTAAACGTATGCTTGATGTTACAATTGGAGGAGCTTATACAACCAATACTTATAATGACTGCTATGATATTTAGAAAAGTTTTTTGAAAACGATGGCCATTGGGTTGATCCACATACACTAGTACTAAGAAAAAACAGTTGGAATTCATGAGGTAGATTCTTATACAACATTAATAACATAACATACAACTGAAAATTTGCCTAAAAATAGGATAACTCGACAAATTGTGCACATGTTGCTACAACCTCCAATAATATTGTCGACTTAGCACAATAGGTGTATTGTGGTGAAAGACATCCATTTGAGTAATGTGCATGCAATCCTGAAGTAGTAAATTTTGTTTTTAAACAAAATAGATCTGGAGTTAAACTTATAATCTAAAGTGAAAGCAACACCTTATTTTTCTTTTCACAACCCTCTTTAAATTAACAAGCAAACAAACCCCAAGGAACCTCATATTTTCAACCATAACAACGAAATAGTTCTCATCACCAAAGCTTTGAACATTCAAACCGATTCTCTTTTCAAACCAAGTCACTCATAAGCAGAATCATCTCCGGTGATCAGAGGATTCATAAAACCACATTCAACCAACCATAAAAAACCTTGAAACCTGAGTTGGATAGTTGGCCCTTGAGGTAAGAAACAGGTGTAATGGAATATTGGTGATATTAAAACACCTAAGACCTCAGGAAAATAGCATATGAATGAATTAACCTATATGACTTGGTAGTTACAAATCCTCTTAAAAGCACAATAAGAAAATGAGGCTATAACATCTTCCCACGATGCTGCCCAATATATATATATATATATATATATATATATATATATATATGAGATTTTGACACCACTCTTGCCATTCCTGAAAAATCTGTTAGCCTTTGTTGTTTCCATCCGAGGTTAAAAAATAGTATTCTTTCAAACTAATGCTACAACTTTTGTTCACCCATTCCTGAAACTATGGCTATAGCACCAATTAGTTCCTTGGTCAAGACCACGAAGCCTTAAACAACTCAAACCTCAAAGATACAAGTTTGACACTTGTTCCAATCTATGTACCTTATCTCCAGAGGTTAAGAAGTCAGAATGAGGAGTTGCAATTTCAAAAAAAAAAATCTTGAAACAATTATACATCAACATCCTGTTAACTGAAGTAATTGAGAAAATACCCAGTCATATAAAGTTTTTGAAGGAAATTTTGAGAAAAAGGACAAAAAATGAATGAATTAGTGGTTTGCGACCCTAAGGTGGTGTTTGGTTCACAAAATGTTTTTGGATGTAATGTAATATGTTAAAGGGATTTGACTTTGAAGAAATTTGAATAGAATGTTTTCAGGTTTGATCACTTATTTGGTTAATAAACATTGGGATGAAATTTGTTAAAGAACTAGAATCTGTGTGTTTGGTTCACAGAATGTAGCTTTATAATTGGAATAAAATATTGGTAAATGACCAAAATGCCTTTTTTGAAAATTTTAATTTTTTTAAAACTAAAAATACTTTAATAAAATAATTATTTAATATGTAAAACAATATAAAATACACAACCTGAGTAAAAACATAAGCCAAACGATATTACTAAATCAACGGTGGTCGGTGGTGGTTCAGATCGGTGGTGGTCCATGGTGGTTCAGATCGGTGGTGGTCGGTAGTGGTTCAGATGGCGATGGTCGGCAGTGCTTCAGATCGATGGTGGTCCACGGTGGTTCAGATGGAGGTGGTCGGCGATGGTTTAGATGGATGGTTGTTCAGACCAACGGTGGCAGTTGTGGTTCAGATAAGTGGTTGCTCAAATTGTTGGTGGTCGGCAATGTCCAGCAGTGATTCAGATCGGTGGTAGTCGCCGGTGGTCGGCAGTGGTTCAGATTAGTGGTGGTATGTGGTGCTTCAGGTGGTTGTGGTYGGATGTGGCTCAGATCTTGGGTGGTTCGGATCAACGATGGATCAGATCGGTGATGATCGGGTGGTGGTTCAGAATCTTTTGGCTAAACTTTATCCTAGTTTTGTCGAGGGAGCAACCCCATTTTTTAGCGGCAGTGCCCCTTGTCTACTAGCTTTCTACGAAGGCGGGAGCACAAAAAAAAAGAGTAATGCTTAATGGGCCATCCTGGACTTGAACCACTCCTACCCACCCAGAGCACTATAGCAACTATATTTAGAAGTAAGCTTTTCTCTGAATCCACCACTTACTAAGGAACTTCGGCTCCAGTTCCGCAATGGTGATTCAGATCGGTGGTAGTTAGCGGTAGTTCAGATCGATGGTAGTACATGGTAGTTCAGATGGCGATGGTAGTACGTGGTAGTTCAGATGGCGATGGTAGTACGTGGTAGTTCAGATGGCGATGGTCGACAGTGGTGGTCCATGGTGGTTTACATAGTGATGATCGATGGTGGTTCTAATCAACGGTGGATCAGATTGGTGGTGGTTCAGATSGGTGGTGATCGGCGGTGGTTTAGATCTCTGATCCGTAGTAGTCGACGGTGGTTCAGATGGCGATGGTCGGTGGCGGTTCATATGGTGGTGATCGGTGGTGATTCAGATCGACGGTGGTCAAAGGTGGTCGACGATGGTCATATTGGGTTTCATAAGATTAGGGTATATTGGGTTAAGGGCATATTTTGTATTATGAAAATAGAGAATTCTATTCCATCAAAATACCATGTAGTTGTTAARGAATGTTAAATTTCTTTATTTGTGGAATTTGTAGGATATTGAAGATTCCTTTCGTGAAAAAGAATGAACCAAACAAGAGAATAAAATTTGGTTAATTTAATTCAACATTCCAATTCCATCAAATTTTTTCAAAATCTATGAACTAAATGCTCCCTAAGCCTAAAGATCTAGAGAGGTTTACTGTCTAGGCATGGGAATAGGTCCTGACCCGTCGGGGAACCCGGTCCACCCGTCCCGGTTGGGGACGGGAATTCCCCGCTAAATCGGGGATAGGGACGAGGATCCCCGTTTGTCTCAAATCGGGGAAGGGGACGGGGACGGGTATCGTACGCCTCGCCCCGCCCCGCTTCGTACTCGTTATATATATATTAATTAATTAATTATATATATATACATGTATATATATATATATATATTTTATTTATTTCAATTAAAACGGTAATTCATGATTTTCTATTTTCTAACTAGGTTTATAATCTAAAATTGTTATTTTTCACACGTTAATATGTAATATTTTGGATGTCAAGTCAAAATATAATTACTTGATAAGTTTTGTATATTACTCGATATGATTTTATTTACTCAATATCTTTTGGTACATGTGACTTTAAGTTTTTTTAAATTAAATTGATTTTTTTTTTTTTTGGTTTTAGGTTATTAATTCTTATATGATGTTGTGGTTTTTTTGTATTAAATTAAATTCATTTTTGTTTTAGGTTTATTGAAAATGTTTGAAATTTAAATAATATGGTCTTTCAAATATTTAATTTAAAAATAACTTATATAAACGAAAAAAATCATCGTTTTTCTGTTAAGGATCCCCATTAAGGATAATGATGAAGATGAAGATGTGATTATATTCCTCGACAATAATAAAAACAGAAACGAAAATAAAGATAAATAATCGAGGACATGAATAGATAATGGATTAGGGTCCCAAACCCATCCCCACCCATTCCTATTGCCGTCGTCTGTTCAATTTGTGGGACCAAATCTGTACTTACGCAAGATATTAAAAAACCGTCGGTGACAACCATCGCTGTTGGGATCCGACCCGACCCGGAAGGAAGTGGGTCCAGAAGGTTGCTTATCGGGCATTTCCGGTTTCCCCAACGGAATACAGGGAGGGTTTTTTGACGAGGTGCTTTGTAATGGCAGAATCCCTACTTGACCTTGAACAAGTCCTCCGTTCCAAGCAGGTATTCTATACAATTCTGCAATTACACAGTCTCATATTCGTCGTTCTATCCACATACTGGAAATATCATATCTCGACGACCGCTTACATTTCCTAATTCCGTTTTTTAGTACTCGTTCTTTGCTTATGATCTTGCTTAATTTTGCATAAGTAATCATCCCGGATAATTTCACTGGTAATGTAAGTGGGATAAGTGAGTGATCCAGTTGTTTTTAGTTCTGACAGTTTCTACTGCTCTACACTATTTCCGCTGGAAGTGATTAGCAGAATACATCAAAGATTTGACTTTTGAGTTGATCCACAGCCTTTTCAAAGTAGTTTTCTTATGGATTTGCTTAAGTTATGTCAAACATTTGAAGTTATACTAGAAATACTGCAAAAAATGATGTCAAAATCTTTATCAATTTCGATCGGATAAGTTGGAGGTTTGACATCGATTGTCAAAAAATTTAGAGTTTACAGAAGTGAGAAATCATCTTCAGACGGAATTCTTTCTTTTGGAATGACAAGAAGATGAATTCATAATATTTCTCTGATATAAAATGAAATGAGATTCTATTCAGAATGTGAAAAATAAGAAAATTCAGCCTTTTGATATGTATATCACCGTCAGTAGATTACATACAACAATTAAAATTTGTTTTATCAACAGACATTTTAAGTAGGTTATGTTTGTATAGCTTTTTTTTAATAGAAAATCTTAATAATCTTGTATCAACTTTGACCAAAGCAAAGTTCATTTGATCAGCTAAAGTTGATGATTATGAAAAGTTTATCAAGAAGAAGTTATTCACTAGATTTTCCATCAAACCTTTAGATGACCCCACATAAAGGACGATAACATTGCTTAAAAACCATAATACCCATTTGAATTGGATAAAATGAAATGCCAAAAGGCTCATTTAGTAAGGAACATTGGGTGTATAGTTTCTTATTTCGATCTTTATGTTGAACCATTGACTAATGTGTGATTCTCAATGATATATTATATCTTATGTACCCATGATGAGTACTCGAATTCGTTAAAGTAGCTATGGAATGAAGTAAGAACACATGAAGAGGAAGGGAATGATTTGATTGAAATTAGAAATTGAAAATTACAGTCATAACTCCAGGGGTAATCCCTCTCTCACAATCTACAAGATTGGAGCCCAAGACAATGGAAAGCAAAAAATAACAGAATGCATAAAAAGGAAAACCTCCTTCCTCTTTTATTCTCTTTCTTCTAACAACCTTCAGCCACTTTTGTCATTTACKCTTTTGCCCCTTCTAGAATATACGTGTAATATCCTAGGTTTGTTAACTTCATCTTTAGATAATTCCAATTCCGTATCATTACTCCCCCCTTCCAACAAAGTCTTGTCCTCAAGACATACATCAGGAAATTGAGTCTTGATGGTTAACGCATCTTCCCATGTTGCCTCTTCCAATGAACTCCCCTTCCATTGAACCAACCATTGCTCATTGTCAACATTGTGTTCCCTGATTGTGCGAGTAGCTAAGACAGCCATTGGAGTAATCAACTCAGTAGCTAAGACATTCTTAGGATCCATGGCAACCCCCACACCATTGATAATATGCCCCAAATATTCTACCGATTGTTGACCAAAAAAACATTTCTTTCTATTAACCACAAACTGATTTTGTTCCAAAACTCGCAAGGCCACTTCCAAATCATCTAAATGTTTTTCCAAGTAAAACTATAAATCAAAATGTCATCAAAAAAGACCACCACCATTTTCCTTAACCAAGGACGAAAAATGTCGTTCATAACGGCTTGAAAAGTAGTGGAGGCATTCATGCTGCCAAAAGGCATCACGAGATACTCGTAATGTCCGTCATGAGTGCGAAAAGCCATCATTTCAATGCTGTTTGGATGCATACGTATCTGATTGTAAGCGGATTTCAGATCGAATTTGGAAAAAAATTGAGCTCCATGCAATTCATCAATGAGCTCTTCCACCATGGGGATTGGAAATTTATCTGACACAGTAGCCTTATTAAGGGATCTATAATCAACACACATTCGCCACGTTTGATCTTTTTTTTTAAACCAATATCACCGGACTTGAGAACGCGCTCTTACTTGGACGAATCATTCCTAACGAAAGTTGTTCTGACACCTGTTTTTCAATCTCCCTTTTCTGTACATGTGGGTATCGATACAATCGAACACGAACGGGGTCATGGGAATTGTTGAGGGTAATAACGTGATCATGAACCCTTGCTGGAGGGAGACCCGAAGGGGCCTGGAAAAACAACTATAAATTGATTGAACAACAATTGTAAAGCCTGCCCTTGAGTAGTGGTTAAACTATCTCCAAACCTAGTATCAACCGAGGGCAACGAAGGGATGATAGTATCCAAGCCCTCCGAGATAAACAACCACTGTTGTAAGGAATCAAGGGAACCTTGAGAGGCTCTATTTCCTTGCAACGAAACTGAAACCCCATGAAAATTAAATTTCAGCCAAGATTTCTCCCAATTATGAATTACTTCTCCCAATGTTTGAAGTCAAGCCATCCCCAACACCACGTCCAATTTTCAAGCATCAAAAACTAAAGCATTCACTATAAACTCATATTGTCCCACCATTATTTGTAGGTTAAGACATTGTTGATCAACAACAATAGTATGACCATCACCCAAACGAATATTAATTCCTGAACAGTTATTAAACGGTAAAGCTAAGGATGTTACCAGTTGACGAGAGATGAAGTTATGAGTCGCTCCACTATCTACTAGGATGGAGACGGGAATGTCCCTAATCGTCCCATCTAATTTCATCATCTTGCCGCCTGGTGTAGTCTCTACAGAAACACCAAAAAACTCCAAAGCTGCACACATGCCGGTGGGAACTTGCTCCTCATGTGAAAGACCATGTTCACTTTGAGACTCCATATAACAAACATCACCCGCGTCTAATCCATCCTCGTCTTCTCCCAACAATAACACTCGGAGTTTCCCTTCTGGACATTTGTGAGTCGGGCCATACTGTTGTCCACAACGGAAACATAATCCTTTCTTGCGTTGCTCCTCCCATTTTGTTCGCGTAAGGGAACGAAATCCTCGATCCCTCTGAGTATCGTTTGAGCCTTGGGAAGTCGGAGAAGCCGAAGAACGGGGACCTGGGTAAAATTTAGATGACTGGAAACGATCGATACTCTTGGGTAATGGGCTTTTAGCCTCCGTACGGCCCATAGGCAAGGGTTGTGGCTCACTTGGGCTGAAACCGGAGCCCAAATGGTACCGAAAACGAGATTGAGATAAAGTACCAGATGATGGATGCAACATCTCTTCCACATCCTTCGCCAAGTACATAGCATCCAGGCGCGATTGGGGACAGTGCAATCGAACCCACCGTTTGACCTCATCTCGCAATCCGGCTACAAAATACCCCAAGGATTGCGATTCTGGTAATTTGGGAACCAAGGAAAGTAAGTATTTGAAATCATCAATATAATCATGAATGGAATCAGATTGTTTGATGGTGGCGAGTTGTTCATAGGGATTTTGGATTTCTAATCCACTGAGTCGTTGAAGTAATTCTACTTGAAACTGATCCCAAGTGATACCCTCGTGAACTTGCTTAATGATGGTGAACCAGTGTTGTGCGACTCCTGTCATACTCAGTTGAGCCAATCGGAGACGAAGATGGACAGGAGTAGCATTGATGTCAAAAAACAAATTAGCCTTTTGAATCCACCCCGGAGGATCAAACCCATAGAATTCTGGTAACTTAACCTTCTTCACGGCCCAAGGTACCCCACCGGAGTCATGAGAGGAGGAACAACACCCCTAGCAGTTCCGTTACCGCTGCCGCCAGACTCGAAGAAAATACCGGAGTGAGGATTGCTTGAACCCATGCCACCACCAGAATCGTGTTGGTTGCCCTGTTGTTTCATCCATCCCAGCATCACTTGACGGAACTCGGCAGACTCCACCCTATCCACCTCCAGTGATTGCAGAGCCAGTTTAATTTCAATAACCTCAGTCTGAAGTCGCTGGAGCTGCTCATCATGTTGCTCCAATCGGGATTGTGTAGAACGAGTTTCCATGAACAAAGAATCAAAGGAAACGGCAGGTCAAAGGCAGGAGTGATGAGTACTCGAATTCGTTAAAGTAGCTATGGAATGAAGTAAAAACACATTGAGAGGAAGGGAATGATTTGATTGAAATCAGAAATCGAAAATTATAGTCATAACTCCGGGGGTAATCCCTCTCTCTCAATCTACAAGATTGGAGCCCAAGACAAGAAAGCAAAAAATAACAGAATGCGTAAAAAGGAAAACCTCCTTCCTCTTTTATTCTCTTTCTTCTAACAACCTTCAGCCACTTTTGTCATTTACCCTTTTTCCCCTTCTAGAATATACGTGTAATATCCTAGGTTTGTTAACTTCATCTTTAGATAATTCCAATTCCGTATCAACCCACAAGCAGTTTCACTGCTGAAATTTAAATCAATGAGAATGTACAATTAATAAATATTAGCAGGACAAGTTATCAAGTCAAGAAGCAAACTTTCTTATGACATGGAAGGAAAAGACACTTCGACAGCTCGCTGTCGGTGCAGTAGCTGGTGGTGCAATTGCATGGTCAGGTAACATTGTACACACTTTTCTGAGTCTATCTTCTGTTTGGAATATTTTCCATCTCATTTGGCCTATCGTATTTGAAAATGTGTATTTTCAGAATAAGCTTAAACTGTATGTTTTGTTGTTCTTCATGTCTTGCTTATGTTTATATATTGCTCTCATTTAATTATGTAAGTTTTACCCTTTTTCTATGGGTAGAGTGAATGATTTTGATCTCACATAATTTCTTTGGCCGTGTTTATTAGGTTAGTATGTTGCTTGTGATGTCCTTTTACCTATGGTCCAGTTAGATATTGGTTGACACGGGAATATTAGTGATGTTATACTGTTGAATAAGAAGCCTTTAGTTTTCCATTTGAAAATTTGTGCGCTTGGGAGTCCCTAATAATTAAATATAAACCAAGATTTTACCATGATTGCAATTTTGGAGAGACGCGAAAGCAAAAGCCTACGGGGTCGCTTCTGTAACCGGTAGATATGCTCCCAAACCTCCTTGTGCTTTGTTAGCTCTCCGTTCACAGGACAAACTCAATTTATTTCAGTGTTTTACCTGTTTTTTTGTCAGCTTGGAGTTCCATATTGAGGTTTCTGTAACAAATGTAAGGACTTATTTGTGTTATTTCATTTGTAATTTGTAAAGGAGGAATGCTCAAGATGGTTGGCTAACTTGAAGTTACATACCAAGATGAACCCTGGTTAGGGAAGGCCTGCTTGATTTACATCAACTATTGGTCTATAAGTTTTATAATTTTGATGTATTCTCAACAAAAACCCCTTATGACATAAAATTGAAAAGCATGTATAATGGTCCTTGTATGCTGAGTTACTGCTTCCCAAGTATGTATTGAACTATCAATATTGCTGCAGACTCTGAAGTATATCTCCAACCAAAACATCTCTCCCTCATGTGTGAAACTTGAATGCTATGTGTGAAACTTGATATTGATAAATTTGGAGGTATAATAAATTTTATTCTACTAGTAGCTGAGTAGTTTTAGGCTCTACCATTTAACGGTTTCATTTTTCCGGTCTTTTGGACTAGCTTCTTGCTTCTGGCTGATGTGATAAATTTTGAATGATTTTTCTAATCATCAATCTTATTAAAATTTTACAGTTCTTAGAGAATAACTGAACCAAGTAGTTGTTCATGCCTTCATGGATATCAGTCTGGTCTAAACACCAAATCTAGGCCAGCTTTCTGGAATAACTCCACTATTGCTTTGCTTTATGCAAGCAATATTCATAATAGATTAACGTTATTCTTAATATCTATTTTTTGTGTTCCTATTGACTATTGCCGCTTATTCTGTTATTAATAGTCTTTTCTCCTTGTGTTATTTAATTTGCTCCTTCCTTCTAAATTAGCCTGTGATATGCTTATAATCACCAAAGTCGTAATGGTCTTGATTTGTTATTTCCCTCACAGCTACAGGAAATCTTGATAAGATGTTTCGCATCAACCTTGCAGGAGGTACATGACAATCTCTCTCCCCCCCAGATCCTCTTTGTGTGTGCATTTGGCTTCCATATCATCATCTACCTTAGTATCCCTCCTTTCTTACTCCCTTGTGTAACGACCCAATCCTAAATGGGTACTGTTATTTTCTCCTTATACTACCAAGTCTTGTATGTGAACTAAATTTAACTTTATTTCTTTCATATCTTACTATTACACAAAGTTGAAAATCAATGGAAACGTAACTCAATGGCTTATGATACAACAAAATTTGCTATTGATTAGAATAGTACTACTTATCCGTCTTTACTCCTCCCTTGAGATACATACATGGGAAATGTAAGCTTCAAGCTTTAGTGAGTAGTTATGGTTTCATGAATACACAATTTTCATAATACTTATCAACTTGTGAATAATAATTCAATAAAACTCATCATCATGCATAAAATACCTTTTGATCTCACATGCAACATGTAAGTATGTCATATTTGCTTTGAGGTTTGCTAATTCCCGGGGCTCATTGAGGCTACCCCATAAGGTCCATTTGCCAGATGTCCCTTCATTCTATATCCTTTACATTGGATATTTATGGTCATACATAACATGCATAAAACTTTCATGCCTTGTACAAACATCATAAAATGCATATATCTTGGCTATATAATGTGTCCTTATATCATGTAAAACATGCCAAGACATCTTATCAAATTCTTCTTAACGCATAAATGTGTCTCAGTAAATCTCATAATGTACTCGCTTTGTTTTGCACTTAGCTTTCTTTTGATTTCTCACTTCTAACTTGGTATTCTGTTGAGAGTGTTTTCTTACTTTGCTATGGAAATAATGGTTTCATTTCAACCTCTATTTATAAGTGATTACAATGTATTAACTACTTGTTTTTCTTGCTCTCATGGTTGTATGAGAGTTTAACGCCTCATGCGTAAGATAAAAGAATCTTGACACATCATGATTCTAGCTTTTATTTGTGATCATGAAACACATACTTCTTAGCCTTGACAACTCATAACTAGCTTGCTTTGTCATGCTTACTAGACTTGCTTTGTCATCAATAATTTTGCCAACATACTTCTAGCCTTACCAACTCATAACTAGCTTGCTTTGTCATCAATAATTTTGCCAATACATACTTCTAGCCTTAACAACTCATAACTAGCTTGCTTTTGTCATCTTTTTAGTATTGATTTCTCATGCTTTGCCTTGTAAGCTACTTGAAATTTAAAATATAATGATTTATAGATGCTAACGTTGGTCAGCTGCTGGTGCCTTTTTTTGGGCACTTAATAAGATCATGATACTTGTATAGTTGTATTTAAGACTTGAAACACTGAAATCTAACATATACAGAAATTAGGATATTACACCTTGCTCTTGTTTATCTAAGTGGTTATTAGAATATTCAAAAGCTTTCCTTTCATGTTTAGTTCACAACCTTTTTGGAGCTACACATTGAGCTCAATTTTTTAGTCAACCCGTTGGGTAATGAATGTAACTCAGGTTATTCGAGTTGGAGAAGCATAAGAAACTGCTAATATATCATATATGTGAGTAATTGGGTAATGATTTGTTGGTCTGAGGTCCTCAACACCCTTCCCCTCCCACTGGAGCACCCCTTCTCCCTATTTTCTTCCTTATTTCCTTTTTCAATCAGCTTTTCCATCTTCATCTCCTTTCAAAATTTTCACTCTCAGTCTACAAACCCGCCTGCAAAATTCTCACAGGGTACCATCCATGTAATCTCCCTTCATCTGTCTGTGTCCAATGTTCTAGTAAGCTACTTCCATTTTCTTCTTTCTACTAAACTCTTTGAAAGAAGTAACGAAAATCAAATCAAATGTGATGTAGATTTGATAAGGATTGGTCCAGACCAGAATATGATCAAAAAACAAGTTTGTTGTTGATCGGGATTACAATGTCAGATATCATTACGGGTTTTTTATTCTCTTTGTTTGAACAACAATTTTAGGAAGTATTACTGATCCTTAAATCTATTATAGATGTGGTGCCATCTTTAGTTAAAACAACATTAGTAAGCTTTTGTTAAAACAACCTAATGTATTACGGGTTTTTTATTCTCTTTGTTTGAACAACAATTTTAGGAAGTATTACTGATCCTTAAATCTATTATAGATGTGGTGCCATCTTTAGTTAAAACAACATTAGTAAGCTTTTGTTTCTTACCCAGCAGACTGTTTGCTATCTCTGGTTAAACGACCTAATGTATTCAAGAAATACAACACTAATTATGAGATATAGTAATCTTCCATTGATAAAGTGGAAACATATTTCTAGGTAATTAAGTATGATGAAGTGGAGAGGCATGGAAAGGAAACAGGGAAGAATGGACTTTGCGCATGTTTATGTATGGGACTTAGTAAGGACTCAGGTCTGTCTCACCTGATGAAATTGAACCGCTCTACTCTTTGGCATAGAGCTATAGAGGGTCAGGTCTGCATACATATTAGGCCCCTAGACCCCACCTCCGGGGGTTGTTTGTTTTGATTTGGTTTTAGGTCTGTCTCACCAAGGTGCTTCTTTGTTTTCTTCTGTATAGCATCGAATTATGTTTAATTCATTTATGCTTTTGCACGACAAATATTTAGGTACATTTGCTTTATCTATCTATTGATGGACTCCCATTTGAGATAAAAATAAAAGTTGCATTTTCTCATAATCGGCGTCTTTCTTCACCATTATCTTTATTAAATTCATACTATGTAGTGAGGCAAAGCTTAATTAGGAGAATAATATTCAATGTTCTTGTCATAACAAGTAACATTTTGGTGGTGCTAGTGATATGCTAAATAACTATAACAATCAGTATGACGATGGTGCTTAGTACATACATACATATATGCTATGCATATACATATACATACATACATACAAGTGTATATCAGTCTGTGTGCAGTATGTATGCACGTCTTTCAAGTCCCAGCTCCTTGCTGATAAAAAAAATAGAATCTCTATATCTTGTCGCTATGTTCTCATGATATGAAACTATTAACCAATTCCTAGGAGCTGCTGCTATTACTTCAATGTGGAGATTTAGGAGGTCAATTTATTCATGCATTGAACAAGTTCTTTGCATGGATGGAAGTCGGATGCAGAAAGAATTGGCAAATATGTGAGTCATTTTATCATATTGCTGTTACATATAATTCCTTAAAAGCCAAAATAATGGTACTACCTTTTTCCATATAAGCCCTGAAGCTGAATAATTAATGGGTCTCTATTTATATGATGAACATGTCTACTTATTACCTGCAATGGTTTTATATTGTATCATGATCTTTTTTCTTTTTGTGGGTAAATACTGAATACAACGAAAATCTTTGTGCGCTGCAGCATGTTGAAAAGGTATCCAAATCATCCAATGACTAGAAACCTACTATCGAAACGTTTCTACTGTGAAAATGTTTTTGATGATTCAACATCAGACATGCCAAAATCAAGGTGGCGTTACCGAAATAACTTTGTGGAAAGTGCCGCACATCCCCAACGAGCAGATAACCATGAATCCTATGGTCATGATGCTAACATTGGTCCAGAACACAAGCCAGTTCCTGTAAGTATCTTTTTTACTGTAAATTCGAGTTTCAGCTTTTCATGTTGAGTTTCCAACTTTTCTTATAATGCAGATGAATAATGGGTTTGTTGCTATGGAAAACCCTTTCGATTGTATTTTTGGAGTCCCACCAAGCGTAGAGGAAATTCGACGCCCTGTCCCAGCCACACCACCTAGAAGGCATAGCCGGAAACATAGAAGATCCCAGCGCAGGCATCAGATCCACGACCGGGATGATATTTTGTAAGCTCATGCTCATACACATATATACATGTTGGTTGTCTGCTGAATATGTTGTAATTCAGTGGGTCATTCGGTACTTCGGTTCACAACCTGAACCAATGCAATCGGCTTGAATCTTACTAGAGTTGAGATTGAACCGTGTCATCCATTAACTAAATCAAAATGGATTGACTTAATTTAATTTTATACCCAATTGAATCCAGTTTTCAGTTGTCTAAGGGGCCGTTTAATAACACAAACTGTGTAAACACTTATTGGGTAAGATTCTTAGTCATCAAAATAGTATAGTATAAGTGTCTCTTGCTTGGTAATGCTAATCGGGTAAGAGTCACTTTCAATTACCAGGTAAGATTATCGGTTAGCAAAATGAACTGATAAGATTGTTGGTAAAGACCGTCGTGTTTAACGGGAAAGTGATTCTTAGTTACCCCATGAAAGGGGGCCTAAAGTTTATGTGATGATTGGTGTCTTGTAAATAAGCTATATCTTATTTGATTTTAATTGACTGCATTTTGGTGATTTGGTGATTGATATTTTTTATGATTTAGTACAATAATTATCAACTATTTTTGGTTTTAAATGTGGTTATTGAACTTATAACATGGTTTTTGGTATGCATATCTTCTTTGGGTTTTTCAAAGTCTTCTTTTCATTTCCATTGAACAATCATTACTTGAAATCAGTAAGTTTGGTTATGTTACTAATGTTGTTGTTCAAATTTGAAGTGATGACGTTAGAAATCAAACAATTTGAATAAAAAGTGATTTATGGTAAAACACACACACACACATATAAACACTTTTATGATTGTTTTACTTCATAAGCGAGTTGATTAGGTGAGTTCAGTCATCCCCAAATTGCCAATCGAGTTGGATTTCGACAGTTGAGTGTGGGAACGATGGTTTCGGTCGTTTTTAATCTTTTTAGACCCTTGTCCAGATTGACTGAACGAGTAATGAATGAAACAAAATATAAAAGTTCATACAATATTTATCATATCAAGAGGGTGTTTGCGGCTGCTTATAAAAATAACTTATTGACTTATTCCGGTGTAATAAGCACTTTTGATTGTTCGGTTAAATAACTTATATCGGTGTCAAACCAGTAACAAGAAGTTTTTGAAAAAGTTAAACTCTTCTGACTTAATTAGGAAGGAGAAGGAAGGAAAATAACTAGGAAAGTGGGCTAAACAACAAGGAATATGTCTATTCGTAAAATCCCCCAATTTGTTGCAACTTGCAAACAAAACAAAGCCCAGATGAGCGAAGAAGAGAGAAATTGAAAATTGAGTGATGACCGGTTCAGACAATGATAAAAAGCAACCAACAAAATTAATTTAATAATTAAACTTTAACTTTTCTTTTGAATGCCAAAATTCGTATTGTTTGAATTCTCTATAAATAAATATTAGTATTGACATATTTTCATTTCTACTTTTAGAATCTTGAAGATACACTAATTTTTGTTTCTCTACTATGAGATAACTGTTAGCTCAAGAATATTGTATTCGTGATTACCAAGATTGAAGACTTGAAGAATGATCAAAGAAACTTAAAGTTGTTATCAATTGTCAAAAGTCAATGTTTAATTGTATTTTGACTTTGTAATTAGTCTACTGTGTAAAATAACTTGTTAATAGTAGTTTGCAGTAAGATCTAAACGTGCTATTCATTTGTTGCATTCTATAGAGAGAAATGTATAGAGTGAGAGAATTTATCAATATACATGATGATTTGATCTTTACATTGTTGTTCTTAATTGTTGAATTACATTATTATCTGATTACTGAAATTATCAATAACTTTTCATATCCTAAAAATAAAAACTAATTATAGATACTAAAACATTAAATAGATAATTTTGATAGAATAATATTTTAGGTTACGTTGTGTCATTAAAAAAAAAAGAGTTAGGTTGGTTTGAAGTAGAAGATTGTGATTGTGGACGAGAAAAATTAAAACAAATTTCTAATGAAAGTTTAGCTTGAATAAGCTAACGGTCAAACATAGTCTAAAACATTATAATTGTCCAATTCGGCTATAATATATATAATTGAACCTTAGAAAACATCGAGGGCCTCAAAACTCTTGGAGGCCATGTCCAAAATTTCATATTGGTATACCCTCCGGTACAACAAGGCTTATGGGGCTTAATAGCAGATTTGAGTTGCTGATACCTTTTGAAAAAGAAATGGCCAATAAATAAATCCCATACAAGGGAAAAGAACACCTCTACTTGTAGATTCGGTTGCAACGAATACTTACATCAACTAAATTTATACTGTTTCTCCTTAATACATGTTGAAACATCTTTTCTGTTCTTAATGGCTCTTTTGAATGACGATCTAAATATCTAATAAAGATTGACATTTTGTATTCATCGAGCCTCCTTGGAACAATCTATGCTTGTCTGTTGAAGGGACGTGTTACAATCTTACAGAACTATGCTTCCTCAATATATGTTGAAACCCTGTTGAAGGAACGTGATACAGTCTTACGTCAACAAGACTTGAACCATGTTTCCTCAATATATGTTGAAACCCTGTTGAAGGGACGTGTTACAGTCCTACATCAACAAGACTTGAACCATGTTTCCTCAATATATGTTCACTCATCGATCACCCTTTTGAAAAGTAATATAATAGAGTTCCATAACCATGCTTATGACATTGATGCTAAAACTATCGATAGTTAGCGATTTACTTCGCAAAACCGTACCATAAACGACATAAAGTCAGCAACTTGGATGCAACTTCAAGAACTGATCCTTTTGTATAACCCTTTACCAATACATCCATTGCTCAGTATTTCGAGCATACAACAAGAAGAAGAAAATTCACATCTTTGGTTGGAAAATTGACCATTACATTAACTTACAAACTCGAAAGACTCACAACAGCAACTGCTTGACAAAATTTTGGCTAGCATCGGGCTCTCAGTTATCCGGCTGCACACCAAAGTGCTCTTTCAAAACATGTTTAGAAGTTTTGCCAAATCCTTTACCGACTGCTTGCATTTTAGTGATCTTATCTGCCTCGTTTTTGATCTGAGTCATTCTCTTGAGAACCGCATGAACCATGGATGGGTCGGCTGAAGGGGAGCATTTGGCAAGTTCACCTTTCTCTTTGTCCAGCTCTTCATAAAGAAGTAAAAGATGGTTTTTTTGAGCAATGAGGACATCTTCAGCAATCCTATACTCACCTTCCTGAGACTTCTTCAGTGCAGCCAGTGTCTTCTCGATCCTCTCCTCAAGTTCTAACGATTCTATTCGATAATCGAAATTGGCAATCTGGGGTGAACCTGTCTTGCGCTCCTTGAAGTTAGAATCTTCTAATGTGTCGGTTTCGCACTGGGAGAGTTCTCCTGATGCCAACCAAATTTTAATTAAAGAGGATTAAGGCAAAATATGGAGCAACCAAGCCAAACACATATCCCACCTGAAGGTGGCACTACTACAGAATCGGGTTATAGGGAGCCAAAATTGTCCGAGTGTCCTAGCAGACTGCTTCATAGGACCAAACAATTATGTGTCCTATTTAAAAGTGTTACTACTCCTTCCGTCTGAAAATAAGCGTCCAAGATCGAAATGACAGAGTTCTAGACATGAATATTTATTACCTTTTAGTTAAATAAATGACAGCTTTATCCTTACTTAATGTGCATTAACTAAGTGTAGATTTGGAAACTTATTTATTTTTGAAAGTGGACACTTATTTTGGGATAAACATAAAAAGAAATGTGGACACTTATTTTGGGACGAAGGGAATACAAGTTTATAACACATTTTTGGACGTCTTAACAATTTTTTTATCACTTTGAAATAAAGTTGTGTATATAGGACACTTTGGAGAAGTGTCATATAAGAGGACACTTGTTTTTATAAGACATTTTTTTTTTTCAAATAATGTCATACAAAAAGTTTATAGGATACTTCTGAAATGTCCTAAAAACTTGTTAAAATTCCCAAAAACATCCTATAAACTTATAACCATATTTTAACATAGGATGCACAATTGTTGTCTATTAGGATACTTGAACATTTTTGGCGTCCTAAAAACCCAATTTTGTTGTAGTGTGGGGTCTGGGGAGGGTAAGATGTATGCACACCTAACATCTACTCCAAAGTATAGAGAGGCTGTTTCTATGAAGACTCGGGCTCAAGCGTTGCCGTATTATCTATAAAGAGTTACAGAAAAGGTACCTGTAGTGCCAGCTGATGTGTCTTCCCGTTTCCATATATCTTCTTGAGAATTCCCTTCCTTAAGCTGACAACAGCAAACAGATTAGTCATATAAAATGTTTTCTAACCGTCTTACTTTGCTCTCTGTGGCAAGCAATCCATAACTCTTTCAAAAATGCCAAAAAGAGCACTATACTCTTTAAGAAAGAGCGATTTGGGACAGGTATAAAAGTATGATGGCTGATTTTGCAATTACGTTTCCATAGTCCAGTATTGTTCATTCTTACAAACTATAGTGTTTTTCTGGAAGTTGCAATAAAGGTAGTTGGCTGGTAAAAATTAAAAGCCAAGTATTTGTTGATAAAGCATTAGTTGTTCAGGGGCAAGTTCAAATGAGAACCTTAAATATTTTTAAACTGGAAACCACCTATTTCATGTATTATTCACGATGGCTGTTGTGATAAATATTTATGATGAATAATATTCATTATTATTCTAGGTTATTCATCATGAATACTACATGAATTAGGTGGTTCCCGGGTTCTCAAAATATTTGTGGTTCTCATTTGAACCTGGCCCTAGTTGTTCATTCTTAAAGCACATAATAGCAGAATACCTTTCCAACAGCAGATTGAACATGATGCAAAAGAGCCTTTGCACTTGGTTTAGTCGATCCTCGCAATATAATAACACAAAGATTAAGTATTTTATGAATATTTTCACCAGAATGAATAGATTCACAGCTCTGGAGAAGAATTTTGACATGAGGAATCAAATCTGTCCTTGCATCACAGCGTCTGCAGTAATACTCGGCATCTAGACCAATGATTCCTCCTACAGTCCCAGCCATGTAAGAACGGAGGGCACATTCTATGTGGCATATGTGTCCACAAATAAACCCATCTTTGACCCTGGCTTCACATCTGATGAAGCTTTTATTATCGCCATCTGCTGAATCGATTCTCACTGAGCAAAGGATACAGCAACAGTCACGGCAGAAAAGGGGCTCAATACAGCAAATATCGCAATCCATTATCTCCAAATGAGAAGGATCACTTGCTTCAACTAGACTGGAGCACATTATATTTCCAGCCTTGCAGCCTGCAGCATCCAAATTCAGATTGCAATTTGCATGCCTCGAGACAATTTCTTTGTTTCCTGCATTATTTTGGTCAGGGAAAAGAATCGGTATTGTTATTATATACAAATTGAACTCCTTAAGAGTATAAATAATTCTTCTCTTATCTTGAAACACTAGATAGGTTTTCGGGAGCTAATAGATTCTTGTAACCATGACATCTACTCTATTTGCTTTAATTGAACATAATTTCTTTCTAAAAAAGGAACTGCTCAATTCCACAAAAGTATTTTCCACAGGGAATAATTAAGGTTTCTCATGCAATCGACCATAAATCAATTCCCTCTTTTGGGAGGACCAAGGACCTTGAGGTTTCTGGGGCATTGGAGTGGTTATTTCCTAGAGGATTACATCTCAATAAAATCTGAGTCAGTTGACACTAGGGATGGCTCAAACCACAATAAAATCTCACTGTTTGGATCCCTCTCTCTCTCTCTACTATTTCTATATCTGATTAATATTACTTTGGCTCTCAATACAGGTACTTTGGTTATGCCAACAGTCTTATTCAGCCCAATGAATAAGGGGTTAATATTTCTAGAAATTACAGAATCTATTCACCCCCATGTTGCACTTCAATTGCTTCAAAATTGTTCAATCTTCTTCCATAAATAAAATATAAAAAGCAAAAACAAAAACAGATGCATTTCAATGTCTTGACTGATTGTGCTTCTGGTTATCAAAACACTACCACATCAAATCGATGGCATGACTAATTGTGCAACTCAAGCTAGCTTACACGTAACTGATTCATCCCATGGTCCCAACATTGCAGGTTTTGCCAATATGTTAATAAAAAACCAGAATAATGATGGCACATAAATAACTTAATGGAAGTGTAACACAAAAAATTTCAAAAAGTTCTACACGATGAAAGCAAAAGGCACATACACATCCTAAATATAATCATATAAAGATAAAACAAGGTAGACTTACAGGCCAAAGAAACACAATGATCGTAAGCTACATCGTATGAACACCGATAACAAGATAGAACACGAATGTGAGTGTGTATGTCACATTATGTAAGTCTGTAAGTTCCAAAACCAAGCGAATAAAAGAAACAAATCATCTTAGTAGTTCAGAGAATACCATATAAAATAAGCATATACTTAATTTAAGCATTATATAGTGGTCTAAACCATCAAGGAAAAAAAGAATTTGGTACCTTATGGTGTACATCAAAGAAATGGCACCTCTTGCACTTTGGTATCCAATCAATAGAATACTTCACTATGTTACCGACTTTGGAGTCGTGCTGCGTATTCAAGGTACATAATTGGTTCATGGTTCGGGTGCAAGTTATGCATAGTTAGTCCAGTGGTAGATGGTTGGTGAGCGGTAGTCTTATAAGGTAATTTATATATGGTAACATTTCTTTGGAGAAGCATTCGTAGACCCAAAAAGATCAAAGCCATCTCATTCTCCAAGAAACAAGAATGTCACCCTATCAAACATAGAGGTCTAGTACGTTGCATCTGCTCAAGTTCGTGCAGAGGCAATATGAATGAAACCCTTCTAATGGGCAATGAGATAAGTCTTAATAAAATTCCAATATTATTACGACAAACAGGATCTACTAGCATATGTAAAATATCCTACATTTTCTTCTAGCACATCTCATTTATACAAGACAATGTTTCCTTTGTGATCATGTGCAAAAAGGCAAATTGTAATCGAACGTGTACACATCAAAGAAAACGTTACCGAATGGGCAATGAGATAAGTCTTAATAGAATTCCAATATTATTACGACAAACAGGATCTACTAGCATATGTAAAATATCCTACATTTTCTTCTAGCACATCTCATTTATACAAGACAATGTTTCCTTTGTGATCACGTGCAAAAAGGCAAATTGTAATCGAACGTGTACACATCAAAGAAAACGTTACCGACATTTTCACCAAACCACAAATATCCAGAAGAACAAGTTAAACTACAGGAACATATATCCATCAAGTCCTAGTTCCTATGTAAATATAGCAGGCATATGTGTCTATAGAACTTGGTATTTGCTGGTATAATAATCTTCTCTATTTATATTTATCAGACACTAACCCAAATCAATCTATCAGTGTTATATTAATCATCATTATATAGATTTTATATGCTTTATAGTCAACGTCAATGAAACGTATTCATCTACATAAGTCATAAGTGCAGCATCCATTATCACTGATGCTTAAATAAAATACAGGACTCTACAAACTTAACCCAAAAGATGATATAACCATTTAATAGAAATAACGTTTATGTCAAGTGAGAAGTTGACATTTATAGTATAAACATAATTGATGAAGGCCTCAAATGGGAGTTACCTTTATTTTTTTCAGCTGGAATCTTCCATGTAAAGGAGGCAAAGAAGGCCTTGATATCCGTTGCAGGAAAAGCTTCCATCACGAAGCGTTCAACCGAAGTCTTACTAGCAAAACCCCTGCTGCTAGTGATGCTAGCAAAACCCCCTAACTTAAATTTTTCATGAAGACGAACAGGAAGATAAAGATATCTGTCGAGATAGTGTCCCGAAACACCAACTCTCTTCCCCACCTTCCAACCCCACTTATCACCAGGTTCAGGGAAATCCTCAGGAGCATATGGCAAACCATAACCTGAATGATTACCGGGTAGCAAATGAATCTCACTTTCCTTTGATTCATTGGTGCTTCCATCACTTTCATGTGGAGGATCGATCTCCATAGTTCCACTTATTCACTATTAAGTTAAGAATATTCTAACTGCATCCAATACCATATTCATACCATTAGCCAATTTTAACAAATAGATTACTGTTTAGGAAAAGAAGAGAATCATATTGAATAATATTGTCAATGCATATATAGGTTGGGTTTCGTCGGTTGAATGACCTTCTCACAATTTTTTTAAAATTCATAAACTTTTGACGAAATTTAGAATGCGAAAGGATGCCACTTCCCATACACAAGAATGCCCCTAATCCACTCGGAAGGTTATGTTGTGAATACATTTCTCATTTGAGGTCAATGGGCTGATTAGTCCTATACAGGTTACATGATCCAGAAGATATAAACAGCAAAACGAAATACTATAATCAAGTAAATATAGTTCTGTAACCTAACACTTGTCAAGTTGGAGCAACTTGATCTCCTTGATGCATTTTTAGAACATCCTCATCTTTACATAGGCTAACAATGCTTAATTCATGTGACCAGAAAACTGGAACATAACCATTCATTCAACTTTTGTACTAAATCAACTCAGAGGTCACATGGAGTGCATTACCAACTGTAGTTACCTAATATTAAGAAGGAAAGAAGTAACAGACATTCGATCACAAAACGAGCTCTGGAAGAAATTCACTGCATCCGCAAGAGTTTCGCGAGTGACAACAAAATGCTCGACTGAAACTCCAATTTTTTTGAAGCTTGACAGATAGTAGCTTCGAAATTAGGGTTTTGAGATGAAAGGTGACTGGGGATTCGCGGCCGGAGAATTCGTCTCCAGAAGCTCGCGATCAGCGAAGCTCAGACAGATTTCCCAAATCTAAACGGGGTTCTCGATTATTCAGGTCTGTTAGGGTTTGTGAGGATGGCTAGGGTTCCTGGAAAATGGTGGCCACAATTTCTTCGACGGTGGATGGCGGAGACGGAGGAGCTGGTGGTTGGCGAAGGTGGCAAGGGTTTT